TGATGCTGCAGGGCCTAGCCTACTATAGGCAGCACCATCCCTAGGCAGGGGTCTTGGCCTGTATAAGAAAGCTAGCTAAGCAGGAGCCTGTGAGCAAGCTAGCAAGCAGCATTCCTCCACAGTTTCTGCTGTATTTCATTGTCTGTGAGTTCCCTGTAATGCTGCATAGAACAGCAAGGAGTTCTGCCTTCAGGTTACTACCCTGACTTCCCTCAATGTGCTACAACCTGGGAGAGTAAGATGAAGTAAGCCCTTTCCTCCTCTAAGTTGCTTTTGGCCAGGGTTTTGTCACAGCAACAAAAACTAGAACAGTTATCACCCTCCTCTGACAATTAAATGGTTTCCTTTTATCCTTGGGATAAAGATTAAACTCCAGAACAAGTACTCAAAGCTGTTAACAATTTGGCTCCTTTTTATTGCTTGCGCTCCCCTATTCACTGTATGCCAGGTACCCTGGCTCTCCTTTCAGCTCCTTAAATCTGACACTCTTGCCTTTACTTTTATGCCCAGCTATGTCCTGGGCCTGAATGCATTTTCCTTCCTTCTCCATTTAGTTAATGTCTACCACTGACTTAGATTTCAGTGTAAGTATCACTTACATAAGATATCCTTCCTAGGTGCCGGGGGAAATGGCTCAGTGGGTAAAGTGCTTCTGATGCAAGCATGAGGACTTGAGTTTGAACCTAGAACTCACATAAAGCTTGGTGCAATAGCATGCGTCCATAATCCCAGTGCTCCTACAGTGAGACGGGAGGCAGAGACAGAATACCAGAAGATTGCAAGATGTGCAGCACTGAGGCAAACATCAAAGAGACCCTAAAGGTGGACGGCTAGGACTGATCCTTGACGATGTCCTCTGATCTCCACACACATCCCACGGCATGTGTGTGCATCTCTCCCCTGATACCCTTCCTTGTTCCTTTTCAGTTAAAGCCTTGCATGTTCTCCTTGTACCAGCATCTTTCCTTAGTAATACCTGTCAACGTCCAAATCAGAATTGTTTCATCTGTGTAATTATTTGACTACATAAGTCAGGCTGTACACCCATGTGAGCAGGACCCATTTGTGTCAGTCATCCAGAACATTAAAATTAATATTTGTTAAGTGGACTAAGTAAATGAATACTTCTATTAAAAAGATTTTATGGGTTTTTTTTTGGGGGGGGGGAGCTGGAGAGATGGCTCTGTGGTTAAGAACACTGTTTTTCCAGAAGACCCGGGTTTGAATCCCAGCACCCACATGGCAGCTAACAACTGTCCATAAATTCCAGTTCCAGGGGATCCGAAGGCTGGCACTGCACTACACGGGTGCACTTACCTACATGCAGGCAATACATGCATACACATAAAATAAAAATAATAAAATATTTTTAAAGAAAGATTTTATTTTTCATTATGTAATGCATGGGTAGGTGTTTGTGCATGTGAGTGTAGGGCCCTTAGAGGCCACAAGAGGGCATCAAATACCACTGAACTGGAACTACAGCTCATGAGTCACCTGATGTGGGTGCTGGAAACTAAACTCCATCTTCTGCAAGAGCAGCAAGTGCTCTTAATCACTGAGCCATCTCTCAGAACCCAAAAATAAATACTCTTAACAGATCAAATATTAATTGGTGATTTACAGGGTGGCTGCCTCTCCCTGTTAAAAGGAAAATCCCATATATA